TTCTTAATAATTGGTTGACACTGGCACCCATACTACTCTGTCCGTGTGTGTGGCGTTCCTATGTCACTGCAAGTTGCATAGTACCAAAGGCTAACAGTATCACCCCTCTTATTCATTTGTGCTGTTGCAATCTATTATGATTCAAGTGTAGACTTAGGGATTACGGGATTTAATCTATTTCAGCTAAGCTAATTTTTCAAAAGGGACAGATGGCTCAAAAAGGTTGTTTCAAAAATAACCATGTAGTGATGAGGTATTCCGAACCATGGTAAGTTCTTCATGCAGATCATTCATTTAATTCTTTACAAGGTTGTAGAGGTGGGTGCTGTTATAAATGTCATTTACAGATGAGGAAACAGATGAAGAGAGAGTGGCTTGGTAATTTCCTAGGGTCGGGTAGCCGACCAGATCTGAACCTAGGTGGCTTGGTTTCAGATCCTGTGTGCTCAGTGGCCAGGCTTTGCGGCTATCAAGACAGATAATTACTTAAATGAATTCAAACAAATTTGATAGATAGGATCGACTATCTAATACCATAGTTTAGAAAGTAAAGGCTGTCAAGGAGAGAGTCTTTTCCACTTGGACCTATGTATGTATCTTTACGGAGATACCGTTTTCAACTTTGATATCCCTTAAGACTACATAGCCAAATAACTGAACTGTCAAATCGCTCTATTAAAATCTATAACCCATAGTTTACAGAAAAGCATATACTAAGTCTCATGGCTCTTACTTAATAATTTTTAGTGAAAACAAAAAAATATAATAATTTGAAATGTTCATCTTAATCACATTGGTTATATTTTTAGTGTACATAATGTAGTACGTATATTATTTCTAAACAAATATGCATGTATTAGGGATATGTGCTCAAAATGATCTTATTGATGGGGATATGAGAAATCACCTTTTTTTTCAAGACTCAGAGAAAACAGGGATAGGTCACTGTGTTCAATAAACAATTGAGAAGTCAGTGATCAGACCTCTAATATTTGTTTCCCCTGATTTTAAACCTGGTCATGCCTTTGATCTTCAGAACCAGCTGAAAAAGCACAGGGTAGCTTTCAACCCTATTCAGAAGCGAGAGTGCAGAGGAAATCATCCCAGACAGTCTTTTGCATGAAAGCTATATACTTGAAGGAAACTTGTGTATACTTGTGTTTCTAGGTTTCAGGAACTTCAGTGAAAGTCACTACTAAAAATCAGGGAAATTGAAGGAAAAGCTTCAAAGTTATGAGTAAGGTTGAAAGTTAGTTTATTCTGGAGAAATAGTAGTTTCAACCTTTCATTTTTCTTTAATGGGGCTGATGAAGGTAAGTAAAGAAGACCATAATAGAAAGCCTCCAAGGTTGGTTGTAATGTTACCTATTGCTTGTAGTCAGAAGATTAGCAGGAGGCCGACTTCGGCAGTCTCCACGTGCCAGTTCCTTAGCTTCGTTTATTTGCTTTTTTACTAGTGGGTCAAGCTTCACCATCATAAATGTTTCTAATATACTGTGAGATGCTGTCTTTTGTTTATCTGCCTGCTCTGTGGAAGTTGTTAGAGTTCGCTGTTGTTTATTCTTTAATAAAATGTCCAAATTATGGGGATTGTATCTTCAGTTTACAAAGCCATAGTTTGTTGGTCATGGGAGTCATTAGACTGTTGTACAATTACTAGTATTTTGCAGACTCATTAATACTGATTAATTGGTAAGATAATCTTGGTAGTATTGGAGATTCTACTGCAGGTGTACTTAGCCCCTGGATAGGCTTTATTGAAGGATATCCATGGTTGTATTCATGATCAATAATATCAGGGCATCACTGTCATATACTTTGAGCATTTCTCTGGAAAGCCTGTAAACACATCTGTCTTTACGAAATCAGTTCTTGGCTCCGACTAGCAACGTGAACATAGACGTTGTAAATCTTCGCTGAGTCTGTTGTCCTGTCCCTTTTTTGGGGTGTTTGACTTCTTCCTCTGTTCCCTGAGTATCTTGTAAGTTGGTAGTTAATCTAGACACTTGGTTAAAGTTTAGGGATTTCACTTTGTTTTTTAAGGCAAGAATACTTTAGAGGAATTGCCACATATTTCTTGGTGCACCACATCACGGGATGTAAAGTTTGGGCTGTTCATTTTGAATGATGCTGGAATGCATTGGGCTCTATTAAAATCTATAACCCATAGTTTACAGAAAAGCATTTTAAAGTTCCCCACCAACCTTTAACCAAATGTTTTAGGTATCCAGGGGTAATTACTACCCAGTCCATTATTTACAATGATTTCTTCTGGATTTATTAGCCAGAATTATTTTCTAAACAATAACTTTAATGCCCCCTGAAATATGGTTTTTATGAGAAAGGTGGGGTAAAACTTTGATGCTTTCCTTTTTTATATTCTTGTTTACAACTTCCACTGGAGACCAATAAACCACATAGATATTTGTGTAGTTGATGTGCTTTTTAATCCATTGCAGTAATTCTTTTTGATGAAAGTTGGCTCTTCAAGCCACACAAAAAGATATTCCAGGCTAACCTTGTACACTGTACATTTCCTGTCCATTACATTGTATAGCCATATCTGTAAGTCGTCCTAGTTCCTTTTTGTGGGAAAAGGGTTTTTAGAGGCCACAGTCTGGATGCAGGGGAAATTTATTGATGTGGAGGCCTTTTCAGTGGACAGAACCTGAGAACGCAAACACACACACACACACACACACACACACACACACACACACTTTAAGATTTACAAAGAGGCATGAGTTTATACTGCTATTTCTAATTCCAGTTTAACTTTAAAGGGCTTTTACTCTTCTGATTTTTACTATTGTATCTTTTTTCCTTTACGTTAAAAAATCTGATTACGGGCTTCCCTGATGACGCAGTGGTTACAAATCTGCCTGCCAATGCAGGAGACATGGGTTTGAGCCCTGGTTCAGGAAGATCCCACGTGCTGTGGAGCAGCTAAGCCCATGCACCACAACTACTGAGCCTGTGCTCTAGAGCCCGCGTGCCACAACCACTGAGCCCACGAGCCACAACCACTGAGCCCATGCGCCACAACTGCTGAAGCCCACATGCCTAGAGCCTGTGCTCCGCAACAAGAGAAGCCACCGCAATGAGAAGCCCACGCACCCCAACGAAAAGTAGCCCCTGCTCGCCACAACTCAAGAAAGCCCGTGCACAGCAACGAAGACCCAACACAGCCAAAAATAAATTTTAAATCATTTCTTTTGATTCCTAGGGGATATTAACATAATTCCTTCCTTGCTTTGTCTTACAGTATATCTTTAGTGGTTTCAAAATAGCAATATCAATGGGTTAATTCTAAGTGTGAGTACTGAGTGCTGTTTTAAGACTTCTTTGTTCTTTTTGTTCTTAGACCTGTAGTTCAGTAGGCATGGATAGTAAAAATCCTGTGTTTTAAAGTTATTTGAAGTCATTCTTTTCTTTTTTTTTAAAGCTTTATTTATTTATTTTAAATTTTACTTTATTTGGTTATGTTGGGGTTTTTTTTGCTGTGCGCGGGCCTTCTCTAGTTGTGGCGAACGGGGGCTACTCTTCCTTGTGGTGCTGGCTTCTGATTGCGGTGGCTTCTCTTGTTGCGGAGCACGGGCTGTAGGTGCATGGGCTTCAGTAGTTGTGGCTCGCGGGCTCTAGTTGTGGCACACAGGCTTAATTGCTCTGCAGCATGTGGGATCGTCCCGGACCAGGGCTCGAACCCGTGGATTCTTAACTGCTGCACCACCAGGGAAGCCCTCACTCTTTTCTTTACGTAGTTCTACCACCAACTTGGTACACATTTAGGTCTGATTTATTTCTATTTATTTTCAATTTTAGGAATGTATTCTTTTTCATTTAGTTTTTAAAAATATGATTACAAAGTAAACTTTTTATAACCATGTACATGTACAGCAGTCTCACTTTCACTGCTCTTAATCTCTTCCCTTTCTCTGTAAATAACCATTTTTGTTAGCTTTTGATATATCCGTCCTAGTTTTAAAATATAAGCAAACCTGTGCGTGTGTTTATGGACATAATGGAAGAGCGCCCATCCTTCAGCACTCTTCCCCGCTTGCCTGCTTCTGGTTACTGTGTGCCTGACCCCGCCCCATGGCCGTTCTCTGAGAACTGTCCTCGTTCCTTGTTTACTCCCCAGGTCCTCAGTGATGGACTTCTAGGGGTTTTATTAGCCAGCTTTGGGAGTCAGTGTCTATTAATGGGAAGGAAAAAAGAAGGCAAAAAGTATTTGTTAAACCCTGTGTTATTTTCTCTGTAAAGTAGGATGACTTTCTTCCCTGTTATTAAAGAGAAGGAAACTGAGGCTGAGTGATCAGTCACCTGCTCCAGGCCACATGGCCAGTGAGAGGTGGGGCTGCAGTTCAGGGTTCAGCTCTGGAGCTGAGTCCACGTCCTTCTGACGGACGGAGAATAATGTGACCTGGCATTTCGGCATTTCAGTGGTTGTTAGGCTGTCACGTTGATGACTTTTTCATCTAATATTTCAGAGTATCTTGTTTTTCCTTATTTTTTGTTTTTGTTTATTTTTTTGGATGGCACTGAAGAACCTGATAGTAAACCTCACTCTTATGGTATTTTTTAAAGAATTTTTGAGAGTTACATTTTTAAATGTACAGTATAGAAAATGCTTTGTATACAACCAATACTATCATAACAATGGGAACTGGAAAAGGAATTCGCCAGAAGCCTAAACCTTAACTAATCTCACTACTTAAACTATGTAGTTCTTTAACTCAGTTTTAATAAAGGCCAAATTTATTGCATGTGTCTTTCTTCAGTTTTAACCTGAAAGTGATGCCGAGAGCATCCATTTAATGTTGGAATGGGTAATTTGCAGTCAGGACAATTATTTGTACTCTCAGATACCTTTTAAGTTACGAGGATCATCAATTCCCTATCTTGTCTTTCTCTTCTCTCAGCTTTAGACATAGAAATTCTTTCTCTGAAACATGTGTTGCCTCAAATTTAACAGAAATTTTTTTTTTTTTCTATTCTAGTTTGGGAATACTTGCTACTGCAATTCAGTTCTTCAAGCACTTTATTTTTGTCGTCCTTTTCGGGAACAAGTTCTCGCGTACAAGAGCCAACCTAGGAAAAAGGAGAGCCTCCTTACGTGCTTAGCGGACCTCTTCCACAGCATTGCCACCCAGAAGAAAAAGGTTGGAGTCATACCTCCTAAGAAGTTCATAACAAGATTACGGAAAGAAAATGGTAATTCTTCTGCTCCTTAATGTACTGCTCACGTAACAGGAAGATCAGGCGCAACAAGCATCAGCTGAGCACCTTTATGCCTGATGATGCGTTAGCTGCCGCAAAGCCAACAGTGATACTCCTGTCTCTAATGCAGTGCCAGTTTAGTGAGGAGACAGTCGCACAGTGATGACTGTGAGGTGTGATTGCGGTTTGGAGCATGTTGCACAAAGATCAAATTCTGTGTGCCAGGAAATGAGAAATCGTAATCTCTCTTTTTTGCCTGCTTGGCTTTTCTATCAAGAAAAGTTGTGGGGTTTGGGGTTTTTTTTTTCTTTCACTTATTGTTCATTTGTTGTTCTCATAATGCTTTCATGTATGTCAACTCATTTGATCCTTACGATAAGCTGATGAGAGAGCATGTTATTTCCCCCATTTGAGCCATGAAAACAACAGAAGCTAAAAGACTTGCCAGGAGTCACACCCCAGGGAAAGGAAAAGACCTAACACAATAAAGTAAACTTTCTGGCTTAGGGTAGGTAGTTTTAACTTCACCTCCTGTCCCCACCCCCGCCTTTTAAAAATAGTTACTGATTGCATCCCACTTCCCTTTTCTCTCTTAAAATGTTTTCCCTTGAATTTTCATAGCAAGCGCATAAGTTAGACATTACTTCCTCACTTTACGTGATGTCAGTGGCTCCCAGAGACGTTAAGGTCACCTGTCAAGCCGCACACTTCTGCCTGACATCTGAGCCCAGTGTTCTGTCCAGTGTGGTGTGCTACCTCAGAAGGTTCAGAGGGACGCAAGAAACGTGTAGAATTCTGTTTGTTTGTTTGTTTGGATGTAGGCATTTCAATCATTGTAGAAATAAAATTGAGTAGTATTTTTCGTTTGATTTGTTATCTATTAAATATAATGATGCGCACAGAGATATGACTTGAGAAGTCTTTAGTGTTGGTTTTTAAACACATCAGTGGGGAGGCCTGCCCTTAAGTCAGTTGACACTGTTCATTATCACATGAATTGAGATGAGCATGGGTCACATCTCGTTCCCTAAAACATACGAAGGTGCTGAAATAATGTGGCTCTAGGTTACTACTCTTCAATCTGATACCTATGTTATTTTGTTCATTTTCTCCATATACAAATATAGATCAGTTGATTAACTGCTCACAAAAACACATCTTTTTTGTGTTCCCCTGACTAAAGCTAAACCTACTTACTTTCTTGAATTGCAGATGTGTATAGTATCTTCTGTTGGTAAGAAAGCCAAGTACAACTCTGTTAGAATGTGGACTGAGTGATTCAAGTCTTCTCAGAGAGTCTTTTTTTGTGTGTTGGTAGTAAACTTAGAAAATTTTGTCCTGGTAGAAAACTCATGTACTGTTAACCTGTCAACAACATGGGTTTGAACTGCACGGCTTCACTTATATGAGGATTTTTTTTCAATAGTAAAATACTGTGGCACTGCAACATCTGCAGTGGCTTGAATCCACAGGTGCGGGCCAGGTACAGAGGAACCACGTATACAGGGGGCCAACTGTGAGTTATATGTGCATTTTCAGCTCTGCAGAGGGTCACCTCTCCTAACCCCTGCTTTGTTCAAGGGTCAGCTGTACATGATAATTGAACATGCCATCCTTTTTCAGTGATTTTGTTAGTATTTTAGAAATGTTCAACATTGGAAACATAAACTTATACAGAATGCATCTTATTTTCCTTTTCGTGTAATGGTACATTTTCCTTGACCTTATTGTTTAATAATATATCACACGTATTCTGTCTTAGTTTGGGCTGCTGTAACAAAATTACCATAGACTGGGTGGGTTAAACAGTAAACATTTATTTCTCACAGTCTGGAGGCCAGGCAGTCCAGGGTTAGGGTGCCGGCAGATTCACTGACGGGTGAGGGCTGTCTTCCTGGTTTGCAGACAGCCACCTTCTTGCTGTGGCCTCTTATGGCGAAGAGAGAGGGAGAAGCAAGCTCTCTTGAGTCTCTTATAAGAGCACTATTCTCAGCCCTTAAGACCTAAATGACATCCCAAGGGTCCCATCGCCAGATAGCATCATACTGGCGATTAGGGTTCCATCATATGAATTTGGAGAGGGGCAGGTGCATGCAGTCCATAACATTATCTTTACCTGAACAATGATTTTTAAGTTTAGATCGACTCTCCTGC